CCCGCGGCCGCGGCCGGCCGCTCCGCGCTGCCGGCCTTGGGGGGGGGGCTCTTCCAATTTGGCTGCTCTTTAATAAACGTTTTTTTGGTTGGTTTTGCTGCCTGTCTTGCATCCGTCCATTCCTACCGCCCCTCCAGGGCCTCCACGCACACAGGGCCGGGCGCAGCCAAGGGCTTAGCCCAGGGCCACTTGAGTTGGAAGAAGCCACCGTTAGCCCTGGGCCTGATAATTGGATTTCCTTGTGTGCCAGGGCACAGGGAAGCCAAGATGCCTGGTGCCAGCAGGCAAAAACCCGTGTGGGTTGGCACTGTGGGTCTCCAGAACCGGCTGGGCAATCGTGAAGGAGCCAGCGGATCGGCTCATGCTGGAGATTTGAGAGAAGCAGCTGGGCTGCCCTGGGGACCCTCTTGCACCTGCTGGTGAGTTGGGCACTGCCAGCTGTTTGCACATCTGTAACAGGCATCAAAGGGGTTTTTCCCTAGAGATGAATTAGGCTTTTGTGTCCCTTTGGTTAGGGAAATGGAGATCAGGCACCGTGGGGTTTGCTGGGAGCAGAAGAGGAGCTGGAACATCAGCTGGTTTTTGTATGTTATTGCTTGGTTGCTCCTTTTTCTCTTTTTTCCCCTCAAAAAACACACTGACCTTTCCAAGGGGAGCAGCCTGGGCAGGTTTAAGCATCCAAGGGCTCCAAGTATCTTTTTCATGCCTTATACTGGAGATCCACTCTCAACCTTGGGCCTTTTGAGCAGCCCAGCTCCCCTTTTCCCAAGCTCCAAGTCCCAATTTAAGGCTCAGCAAAGGGTGGGAAGCGGCTTTTCCAGCTCCCATCTCTTCGCCCTGTGGTGCCGAACTGTCCCGGCTTTCTGGCGTTATCCTGCATGCACCCTAGGATCCATGAAAAAAACCAAGCTGAGTCTTTGCACTGGGTCTAATGCTAACAGCAGCTTGAAGCAAGAGCATTGCCATGGGAGAATTCTTATTTTCAACTCTTCATCTCATGTTTTCTCCTTTGCATGGAAACAGAAGTGGACACGAGAAGGGGGGTGCCTGTTGTTACTCAGCTTTGTAGCCAAACCCCCTTTGGGGACCAACAAGCACCACCATCTCCCTGGTGGCACGGGAGGACAGCGCAGTGTAAATTCCGGTGAGCATCTGGCAGGATGCTGAGAAGACAGAGGTAGGTCCCAAGGCTCTGGAAGTGCCTCCAGGCTCCTCGTTTACAACCCCATCCCGCTTCCCCAAACGCAGCCCCTGCAAATCAAGGACACTCTGAATGTCGCTGGGTTGGGACCATCTGCCCAGTTTTATTTTGGGTGCCACTTTCAGCACCCGCTCGGCGGAGCTCCTGGCCCGTGTTCCGCAGATATCCATAGAGCGGATGCCCCCCACGCTCCCGCTCCACCCCAGACCTCCAGGGAGCCCAAATAACCCCAGGAAACCCTGGCTTGAGGCAACATAGGTTGTATTTTTGTTTGGTTTCTCTAAAAAAAAAAAAATTGCATTGTTTGAAAGGAAGGAGGTGGAGGGCTGGGAATGGCGGAGCGTCCGGGGCCCCCCGGGCAGGGAGCAGCCAGCCAGGAACAGCGCCGGCCCCCCTCCGCCTCCTCCCCGCACCCCCAGCCAGCACTTCCAGCATCCGGCCCATTTAGCAAAATAGAAATCTCTGCAATTCACTTTGCTCCCTTTGAGATATATATACATATATATGTATATAAAATATATCTCTTTGAGATACTGGTCACTGGACTATGACAGCGGATACAAACAGCTCTTAGGGAAAACCCGCCCTGCGCCGGATTGCGTCTCTCCCAGTCGCTGTCGTGGGGGCAGCTCTGGAGCTGGGGCTGCGTTTCAGGTCCGCCCCCGGGCGCCAGCCGGGGGGGGCAGGGGCAAG